ACCTGCATGTCTTTTCCAAAGTGAAAAAGAAGTTTTAGTGCAAGATTTACATATTCTGCTAAGCGAACTTTCTTTTCGGTTATACATGTAACTAATTGTTTTAAAGCATGTATCAAAGCACATTGTTTATACATTTTACATATCACAGTGAGAATTTCTGCAAACCGATTTTTCTGTTTATAAATGATAATTTTTAAACCTGACACGGAAATAAGCATGATTCTGCAACATGATTTATTGTGTTTAATCACACTGTCTGAATTATCTGTTCACTCTCATTTATTCTCTCGAACAACAATAAGCATATAGTTCTACAACATGATCTGTTTACTCACAATGTTTGTACATATTCTCAGGGAGGCTGGACACCACTTCACCTGACTGCCTTACGCAGGCCACACACAATGTGTCCAGCTTCTCCTTCAACACGGGGCGGATACCAGTATACAGAATAAGGTGAGTGTTGAAGAGTCAAATACAGAAATAGGCCACATTTTTTTCAAATACATATTAAGACTCCTCATCCAGTAAGTAACACAAGTTTTGCTATTACAGGAGAGAAAGACACCAAGAATGGTGGCAGGAGAGAAAGAACACGCTGCCGTAGAGGAACTTTTGAGGCGTTTTGAAATACCAGATATACAGGTATACATGTGGCAGTGTAAGCATGGTCAACGAAAAAGCACTGGATTATGATATATTGGGTTTCTATCAGCAGTTGAAATGTATTTTTATATTATTATATAATTGTTTTACACTGTAAAGCAGTTTATCTTTTACCACATTTATGTGGATTTGTGTTTTTAACCTCACGTGTTACATAAATCAGATGTATTCATCGGAAGGATATTTTTAATTTTGAAATTAAATGGCCAATTAAAGTTAAATATGAAACATTAGCCCCGGAGGGCAGATGTTAAGTGGTTAAGTTTCCTGGCTTATAACTGCGCATGTCCTGAATTCATGAAGGATATTTAATAACTGTTTCACCTTATTATGTGCTAGTTCCTGTAAAATGATTTGATGAATATAATCTTTACAGGGGTATGTACAGACCAAGACTTTGGAGCACCTTGCTGAACTATTAGATCCTGATGAATATACCATTATTAACCAGACCAACCTGAGCACGAATTTCCCTCGCGTCTTTCAATTCCAAAAAGTTCAAGAACTGAAAGATTGGACCACCAAGAACAATTGTACAAATATTAGAGACTTAAAGGTCGGACTGCAGACTGCAAACATTCCAAAACTTTCCAGTGAGTAATTGCCTCATAAACTTATTATTTCGAGATACTTAATGGTACCTTAAATACTTGTATTCCATAAGTTCGTTGCAACAGCTTATGGTAATTACACTGTAAGATTGGAGGTGAATATCACGATCTATCATTTTTGTACGTGTACATCTATTGCTGAAGGTAGTTTTACTGTACAGACCGACGGAATATTTTGGTCAAGAATAGATTTATTTTTAAAAATGACAGTGAGCGTTAGTCTGTCTGTCTGTCTACATGTATGAACGGGCATGTCACTGGATCAAAGATCTGCGCATTTGCTTATATTATTATCAGAAATATTCAATAGTGTGTCGTTATTTCATGATATAAAACATCTAATGAATCATGATTGCGCACAATCAATCACATCTATTTCTGCATCTTATGATTTCCCTACTTTAAACTATTCTCCCTTACAGGAGCGGCAGGGGACTATTATGCTAGGGTGGTGACGGAAATTTTAAACATGACTCTAAATGAATTTGAAGCCCTTTGTAGAACCCTGGTCACTGCTAGGCACATGCACACATCGCGTTCAACAATCACAAACCAACAAGGTGCTAGGTAAGTGCAATTTTGAATGTTAGAGCTAGTAATAGAATTAGCTAGGCTATTTTTATTCATCAAAAGGCGCAAGGGATTTCTGCGACATTTGAAAGTATTTACATCAACTGCTTTTTGAATCACAAACACTTAATATTTAATATAATTTTGGTTGCAAAAACATACAATAAACGTCCGCGCTCTTGCTTTGTGTCTATACATATTTTAACAAAAGCGTGCATATGCATGCGTGTATATCTGTAAACATTTTCAGTCACTACTTACTTTGCATTCCCAGTTTGTCTTTGGCCCAATGCCTCTACGACCTGTTCATTGCGTACAGCGGCGAGGATGAAGCCACGATAGAGCAAGTTCTTCACCAGCTAAAAGAACTGGGTGTTAAGGTGTGGTACGCCAAAGAAGACCTCGTTCCTGGAACACAAGTGATTACATCCATTAGTAAGGCGGTCATTGCATCTAAGCATACCTTAGCGTTTCTGTCCAAGAGCTTTGTCCAGAGTCAGTGGTGTCAACTAGAGCTGCAGTATGCCATGCAAGAAGCTGTAAAGTCGAAAAGAGATGTCCTCATTCCGGTTGTGATGAACATGTCACCTGAGGAAATTCCTACCGAAATAGGAGGCTTAAAATACATTCTTTTCGATGACGAAGAATTAATCCCAAAGGTTTTACAAGTCATTAAAGGTAGTCTAGGTTTTGACTTTTGTACATAAAATTGCCTAACATTTTATATTTTATATGTGATAGATTGACAAGTCTTAATTTTGCTATTTTTTGTGTATAGATAATTCATGACGGCGGTGGCAAATACAGTATTTTTCATCTCGGTTCACATAAATACATGTATATCAGTACACTATGAATTTGTTTTTCACCAAAAATTACACCCAGAATTGTTTCAGATATACATACATTTTTTTTTTCAGTTAATATAATATCTTTCTTTAAAACAGGACCACAAGACACACCCACATTTGGTCAACTTCGAGGCGAGAACGAGCTTTTGCGAGATGAGGTCCGACTGCTGACATCTAAACTTCGTCTCCAGAGCCAATGAGTGGATCTCGCTCCGTCGTCACTTATTCAGCGCCATTAATGAGCATACACAAGACGCAAACTCGACAAACATCATAGGATTGTCTCAGTGTGTTAGGCCTTATAAATTGATTGTTGACTTAAATACTTACTTAATTCAATAATCATCCTATGGCCCTGCTCGAGATGTGTATTTTTATTTCTATTTATTTATTTTGTGATTGTTTGGAATGAGATCTCGTTGCATAGTGATCTTAATAAAATGTGAGCAGATATTTTAGATTACAACAGCCATATATGTACTTCCATGCAGATATTATTCCTTCTGACTTGCTTCGTGTATATAGCCACTCATGGTTTTGAGTATACATGTACACCACCAATATAATTATGCTGTAAGTCATGTATGGCTTAATTCCTTAATATCAACTTGAATTCCGTGTGCTACTTGTAATCCTCCTGGCCAAATTACGTATTTTAATTATATGCACTATGATCAAAACTTTTATTTCCTAATGACACATGATAATCAAACTTAAACTTTTTGTACATTGTACATGTATGTAACCACTGGAAGATTAGGCTAAGTGTTCTGCCGTTTTTTACCCTCGGGAAAAGTTGTATTTGGAAAAATAATTTGGAAAAATTAACTGCTTTTGCTTTCCATACTTACTTTATTTAATCATTGTTGTTTGTTTTGTTTTTTTTTTTTTTTTTTTTTTTTTTGGGGGGGGGGGGTGTCATTCAGAAGCTTAAAGGTGGGGACACGTCATCCACTGGATACGTAGGTGCCCACGCTGAGTTTTGAGAGAGAGATGCATATGCCCTAAGATCTAATAAACGGAGATATGCCTTGTGGTATAATTTTAGATGCTTTATATGCTTTGTATTGTGGCGTTTGTTAAATAGTTTGAAGCTACAGATTACCTGTGATATGTTGTTCATCATAACCTTTTGATTTCACAGGCTTTTTTGGCAAACTAATATACTTGAGATGTATGTAAATATGATTATATCTCCAATTCAGTTTTGACTGCTTGACTTTGCTTATATTGTTAAAAAGAAAAAACATTTTTTGTGCATCTGTTCACTATTAAGAGTAAGTAAAATACCTATCCATGTGTCTAGGTATGAGTTCAATAAATGTTGTCCAGATTACGAAAGAGATACTTGGATTTTATAATTCAAGAAAAAAATATTTAATCTCTATAATGTGTGATAATTGGCACATTAAGAGGAACAATCAACTAAAGACCTTCTAAATATTCCCCATAAGCATATAAAAATACGGCTAACGACGTGTTTGTAACATGTACCTGATATGAGGTGTGCAATCAGCCAAGCTATCCCCTGCGAAAACGACAAGATGGACACGAACATATCTCGGTGTGCAAACATTATCATGTTTTACATATTGACTTAAAACAGGCTGTTGCTATGTCAAAGCTGTAAAAAAGCCCATTAAATTCTTTACAAGATATGTTATCAATATTGTACGGACGTTATTTTTAATGTAATAAATTGCTTACTAGATGATTTGGGTTTTCTTTCTTATTTTGTGTGGTTATTTTAAGTGTAATTTGATTATAGCAAACTGCCAATACATTTTAAAATTTCTTACTACAGCATAAAAAAACAGTTAATTTCGAGATTAAAAGATATTAGCGCATATTTTCTTTGTGTGTGTGTGTGTTTGTGTGTGTCTGTATGTGTGTGTGTGTGTGTGTGTCGGGGTGGGAGACATGGGGCGTTAATGGAAATCTCATTTTCCATCTATTGTCATTGTTGACAGGTATGTATGTAAATGTATTAAAGATGATGAATTTTTATAATCAGCCGGCAAAAGTGTTAATCTTTCCTTTTCAGTTACTTTCGTGGTGTTAGAAAATTTTACCCCTATACCTCCGTTGTATATATAGGCCTATTGCAGAATTCACACTCACAGAAAAGATCACATTTCGGATTACTTTCTGAGTTCTCATGTTAACTTTGCTTTATTAAAGTAGCATAAGCTAATATCATAATCACACCAAAGTGCGGCCCGTAAATTCCACTAAAGAGCAGCTGTTAAGGGGAGATTGCTACACATCAGTGGCAATACTTATGTTTAAAACGAATGCGGGCATGGGGTGCAATCTATGTGACCTACATGTGGAGTGACCTATATGGCAGTTAACATACAATGCACAATGCAGGGGTCATATACATGTATATAGGCGCTGCTACATTGTGTATATAGTGTTGTATATATGTTGAATTGGATTTGTAACAAGACTTGTGCTCTTGCTGGCCTCTGGGAGAATCTGATGCCAGATTGTATTTAGGAGGGTCGTAAGGAACACAAAGAGTCGCGTGACACAAGGAGTCCACCCTGCATTAAATTCATACAGGTTAGAGTAAGTGAGACGTAAGTGGGTCAAAATCAAGGAAGGGAGTTACTGTACAAGGGGGACTGTGTTGCACATGACTCCTATAAGGTGACAGTCAACGGTACATAGACACACTCTGACTCTACCCTGCGTGTCTGCCATATAAATATATAGTGTGTGTACTAGTAGCCTATAGTACATGATAGTATAGGCATCACTGCACACTTAGTCAATATACCATCGACGAGACTGCAGACAAAGTTTGAAACTTATTGAGCACAAGTGGGTCAGTCAATATATCCCGCCCGAAGCAAAGGAGTGAGTCGTTATATTGCTAAAAAGTTACTGAAAAGTGGCTATCAACGCTATATTTATGATACATCATTTATGACCACGCGTGCCGAACTATAGGGCGACTATTTCAAGCTTTGTCAATTAAGCGAGATCACACGGGGTCAAGTAGGGGACGCAGTTACCTGTGGCATTTTATACATATATATGAATCAACGACAGAGGTGTTGAGATTCGAGATGTGTATACTGCTTGCATAGATTTATATACCTTCGGGGGAGATAAAGGAGGTCATTTGGACAAGTGCCCGCAGTTTCTCTTTCAATATCTACCGTATATAGCCTACAATATAAAGTTGAAATAGGCTGCGGCATCTGTGGTTTATTTCTGTACTTATACTTTCACATTCAGATGTGGGCGGCCCTCATGTGACAGACCAGAATCAATATTTTACTATTCGATATCAAAATAATTGTATCAGTTTTGAAGACTTGGATTAGTCAAGAACTTCTTGGATTAGTGAAGCCTATACGTGTTCGCTAAGTGACCCTGGACTTCGGAGGCGTTTCGTTTTACGTCTCGTGACTACCTCGTGAGTGAGGGAAAAACACATTTCCTTTCTTCTTCGCAACATCCGCCTTCACAACACTATATGAAGACGAGTCGTGTATTCTGATTTAATATTTGTCTCCTGCACTTAATGAACACTCTCTATGTGTGACAGACTATGTTTATCGTGTCCTTGCTTCGCCAGCATTGGAAGAAAACTTTCGGCTAAACGGGATCAGATTTTTGATAGCCGCAAATACAAGACCAAGCAAATGGAGGAGAAACTTATTCAGGAGATAGCAAGCGGGGCACCTGTAGATAAAATAAAACCGACCCTCTTCCTCAACAAACATGACCAGGGAGAGCTGAAGGTTGAGTACCAAACCACTGTCGCTGAAACCGTGGACAAAATGAGACAAGATGGCTTCCTGGCGACCAGTAAGTTGGTCTTTATTGTGCATGGCTACAGGGACAACGCCCACTCCGGCTGGCTGGTTGAGGCCAAGGACAACTTACTGGAAGAAAACCCCGATCAGACTGTGGTCTTAGTAGACTGGAGCCGGGGAGCCGATACGGTGATCTATCCCTGGGCCGCGGCGGACACAGCCACGGTGGGGGCGTGGTTGGGAGAAGTGGCTGACGGCGTACGGTCCAAGTTCCCCGAGATGAAAATTTGGTCGGTAGGGCACAGCCTGGGCGCCCACCTGGTCGGCTCAGCTGGCAGGCACAGTAAAGGCGCCATCCACCGTGTTACGGGACTAGACCCCGCCGGCCCGCTGTTCGAGAAATATCTCGACGTCGACAAGCGTCTTCGCCCTACAGACGCCGCAATGGTGGACGTCATCCATACCGACGGCTATGAGACTAACGTAAAGAACGGCGAGAAGAGACAGGTTAGCGTCCTCCGGCAAATTGAAGGCGAACTGTCCGTGGCCGATGCATTAGTTAATCACTTTGGTACTCTTATACCGCTCGGAACGATCGATTTTTATCCAAATTACGGGTATGAACAGCCGGGCGTAGCACCCTTTCAGACATCTGCGCAACACCATAGGGCGGTTCAGCTGTTTAACTGGAGCATTAAAAACAAAGGGAAGTTCATGACCAACCAGATTCTTGATGGGACGCCAGCGTTTGAGAAGCCGGTTAAAAAATTGAAGACGACCGAAAACTGGGCTGAGATGGGTTGTTACGCCGACCAAAGCTTTTGTGACCGTGGTCTGTACTTTATCAGGACAAATCCGACGATACCATGGGCGCCGGCAACGTCGGAGACGTCAAGTGATACACCGTCGGCATGGGGATGCAATATTTTGTAATTCTGACAAGTAGAATACTTTCCTAAGCAGACGCGCACACGAGATTGACTGACTTAATAAGTGATATTGCCCAATTAATAGACATAAAAATGGACAAAAAATTTTAAGATTTGGTTAAAGTGCAACGCGTTTTTATCTGTACATTACAGTCCAAGGAACGGATGTGCAATACGGCATAGGCCCCCATTTTTACCACCCCCCATCCCCCACCCCCCTTAGTGGTGGGACTGGTGCTTTTACAACAGAATATGTGACACTATTTGTATTGATTTTGTCAAAAAAGTAATGAGTTTTTAACGGCTAAAACAGCAAATTATAGTAAGAGAACCACTTCATTTTACCTAGATGGTGTTGCATTATAAGGACTTCATGGCTTCCACTCTGGTGAAAGTATTTAATATAGTTAACGTTTTGAAAATATTAATTTTTTTCAAGCATGGGGGTTTAACTTGAATATATACTGTAAATTCTATAGCAATGAGATTTTGTAGGGAAAATTACATAGGATGTCCCAATGGGCAGCTAAAGGAAATTTTAGACTCATTTTGTCATTTGTTAAGTATTCAAAAATACCGTTATCATTCCAGTTTAATAGTTTAAAGTTAATTTTCAAAGTCCAGCAAGAACTATTATGGCATTTGTCTACATACACGCTATCGCAAAATCTCTTTCGTTTTCTTTGATTACTTCCGGTTTGTAAGTGTTAACTAATTACTTCCTTGTGTGACGAAGCGCTACGTTTCTGTTTCACTTTCGGATGGTGACTAAATGTCAGCACGCATATTTACATTCAGTTGTGTGATTTGATAACACGAGACGTATCTTTGCTTTTGTCATGGAGACCGAATGAACAGTTATGAAATTAAATCTACTGTCACCTTTGAATTACAGAGAGAGCGTTTTTGAATAAGATTAGTTTCGTGAATGATAACACTGTTTTAAATATACTATATGTTCAATTTTTTTACGAATTAGTTAAACATTTTAAACCCTGAGATCACTTTCAAACACATATTTTGCATGAATAACCTAAATCATGCTTTGGGATTTTTGAATTTCAAACGAGAACATGTTCTGTTAATTTATGTATTGCTCCCAAAATACTCAAAATACTGGGTTATTTCAAGAACGGGGTATGTCGTTCTGTAGGTTTTAAGCAATTCAAGAAAAGTGAATGTACACAAGAAGTATATGCTTTTATCACAGAAAAATGAAGGTCGAGGAACGACCGTGAAGAAAGTGTCTTAGCAAATTTATTTATTGTTCAAAATAACTTGGTTATGCCAGAAATAAGTTTACGTTAGCTGCTATTGAAATGGAGGATAGGAATGGTGAGCTGACCGTGCCTGAGTACTTGTTTTGTTTTATATTAATAGCAAAAGTAGATGAAAATAAGTCAGAGAAGAATTTCCCTCCTGACCTCTACCTCCCTTTCTTAAGACAATAGGTGGGGGGGGGGGGGGGGGGGGGGGGTGTCAAGTATATTTCCTGAGTAGAGGCTCATTCCCTGAAGATGTCCTGATAAACATCGAAATATTGGAGGTAAAAGTTATTTCAATTTTAGCTGTTGACTGAAGAAAAAACACATCATTCTAGAAAATAAGCTGATGATAACTATGGCATAAAAAAAACGCCGTGTCGGTAACTGATACAATGTAATGTTTACACGTGGCACAGGTGGGCATAAGGAAAACGCCGTCCAGTGATTTGTAGGAGGAGTTGGGGGTCGGATGTTAATTGTACTTACCAGCTCTGCTTGCTTGCGCTTACAACATGTTTGGAAGTACTTATTTTAAACGCTGTTGTTATTGCTGCTCATACAAGATTGCGAAGTGTTCGTTCTGGCTATTCCACAGCTGGCCTTTTCGATGGCCAATGTCACGTGACTATAACCACGGGATAAGAGGGCTTGGTTAATTAGCTCTTCCGACAATTACGCGGCCAGCTCAAGAGCCCTCTTCCTCCCAATAAATTTATTACACATATATAGTAACAATATTTTATTCAAAATACAAATTCGCTTTCATCTCTCGTCAGTCGGAATTGTTAACGATTACTTTTTAGAGAAATCAGTTTTTTGAAATAAAGAGACATGATGACTTGCAAGCGTTTGAGAATACAGCTCCTGTGTACCAGAGTTTATAATATTTCATAGAACGTTGCGCTTTGTGCCTCAATGTGGCATCAGTGCTACAAATGACGTCATTTTATACAAGACGTCTTGATGTCCACATACTAACTGCTTATCGTCGTGTTTGTTTCTTTGGTCCATATTGTCATTACTGTGAGCAACAGCACCGACGTCATTCAATAAAAAGATGAAGCAGAAATTATTATATTTGAAGTCTAAATGTGTCTGCAGAGTGATGTAAGGTAATTTTAATTTTTTTATATGAGAAGGCAAACAAGCTTTTTTACGACTATAATGCTGCATTCACAACCAAAGTTGATCCGCGGACTAACTGATACGTGTATCAATATGGCTGACCCATTTGTCATCTTGCCTCGTTATCACAGCAGGAAATCTATTTACTGTCTGTTAGGGGGTGATGCAGATAACTTTCAAGTATAACTTTCACGGATCTATTAGTCCCCGGCTCAAATGGTTGTAAATTTGGCCAATTACTTTAGATACTTGAGTGTATCCCGTCTCAAGTACAAATCTCTTCGCACTCCTCCACTGTGATGCAGTCTTTCACGTCGTGGAAATCGTACAACGCACACGGCAGCTCGACGGCTTGGCGTTTTCCTCTTACCACATACGGACGTCTATATACCGGCACAAGTACCTTTCTGCCGATCCCTCTATCTTGCCTACCGGCACCCCTTCCTCTCCCACGACCCTGACCTTGGCCTTGCCTGCGACCTCCACCTAGAACACGACCTCCACCTTGCCTGCGACCTTGACCCCGACCTCCAGGTCTGCCGCCATTTCTTCTGCGGTTCCCAACTATTTGATTGAGTGGCACGGTTCTCTTGCAGTATTTTTCCGTCCTGATGCTGCAAGTTTCTTTCCTCTTGCAGGCACTTTGTGTAAAGCAGCCCTCAGCCATACGGCGCTGACGGTGGGCAACTGGAAGTGAACGTTATGGGAAATATTTAAGGGCAATGTCGTACCAAGAAGTTATAACAGACCATGGAATGTGATTCAAATATGGGCTTTGACTCGTGTGGAGTTATCTTAAGTGTTGGAATTCAAAATGCCTTTGAAGAACCCCAAAAAATCAGGAGAGAAGAAACGGACTCGGCTTATATTTTTAATGACAGCGACATACTGTGCAAAAACCTCGTTATTTTTTATCATCTATTCACATTAGAAAAAAAACATCAGTACTAAAATATTGCAGTGCTCTCTCCAGGGGTGCGTTCACGATGCAACCATAGTATTAGGTAGTTCGAACTATCTCCATAGGGACTCTCTTGCTGAATTCAATCAGATTAACAGACTAACACGCCTCCTCTTGTTTCCATCGCACTCGTGTAATCACCAGCTTTTCTGTATTCTACTCAAAACTTCAGCGAGAATACTTATTACCTAGTCCGATAGTTTCGTGTGAACATTCCTTATATTAAAAAAAACGTACCTAAGCTATCGACTCCATCCCCTGGAACCTTTTCTAATGTTCGCACTTCATAATCCCCGCAAAACTCTGAAATAGCGGAGCTGAGATTGCCTTGGTTTTCTGATCTTTTTCCAACTCTGAAATACTCCTGGTTGGTTTGTGTAACGTAATCGATCTTCTGTTGAAATGAAAAAAAAAAAAAAAACAGGGCATGACATTATTGGAAAAAGCAGAGCAAAACATATTGTATTGATGACAATGACTTGGACCGATTTTATATTTAAGATAAATTGCGTGTACATTATTTTCTTTCTCTCAAAACGTGGGACACCTCAGTCCGAGTCCTTCGGCAAGGTGTGGTCAACTTGAAAAAAATGGATACGTTTATCTCTTAACTAGCTCCTAGAGTAAGCCTTCAACACTTAAAACAGTTTCACTTTTATCAAGTGAAATAAATTGACCCACATTTTAAATATAAGATTAAAAAACACCACATACATCTGCACTCTCGCTAATTTTTTCCGCTTCCCGCAAGGTTGACTCGTCCATGCTCAGCGCCATGTCTCGCAAAAGGCATTTGTTCTCGTCAGCAAAACGAACCACCGTCTTCCTCTACAAATTGGAAATTTAAAAAAAAAAATGAAAAACCAGGCATACCTTTTTCAGGGGGCTTCATCATCAAAAAGACCATTAACGTGCGAATATACTGTAGATGACTTTCCGCGATCGTCGAAATTCCTGTGCGTTAACTTTATATATAGAAACATATTTTAAAACTTAACCTAAGTCAAGGAAAGAAAAAAGTGTTTTGCTTTTATTTATATTATCGTTAAAAATTAAATAAAGTTGAATGTGGATGTTAAGATGACAAAAATTCTTTTATGAACAAGTATAACACTTCACACGCTTCATTTCGCTCCACCTACCGCTTTAAAGTCATGGAGAATGAACGCCTCCGTTCTCTCGTCAGTTCCTAGAGTATGAATGGCTTCCCAGCCGTCCACTAAATTGATCTGAATATCTTGTTTCTCCTCCATTCCTTGCCCTTTATATCTTAGCGTACATTTCTGAAATTAAGAACAGCGAAAACATAGCACATAATAGAACGACAGAGATCTCGTGTGCGGTTTAGTGTTCGTTTCAGTGAGAGCAGCGAAAGTGAGGGTTGATTTTTTAACGAAGTTTCAGAGATAGAATCACTAATTATTCAACTTTGATCAAAATTGATTGAAATTTTCATATCCTTTCCCATCGAGCTAATTATTCCCCAATATGCCCAACAGAGACATAGACTCCTGCTTTTGCCTGAGACAAATACATAAAAAAACCATGCCCCATACTCTGCGTCTAAGTCAAAAATATATTGTACCCAAATTGAGAACTATCGGATCTGAAAAACATTCATAACATGGACACCGAATGCTTTAAAAAAACTGGGGTAACTTATAGTGTGTTTTAAATTAATCTTAATTTTCATGTGTTTTTTAATACCCTCATAGTACAAAATGCGTATTTCATCTTAATAATTTTATTTAACAATTTTATTAATTCAATTTTACTCTCATTCAGTGAATATTCCTATTTATCGTATTGTACATGTATTTTAGTTGCCAGTGAAATGTTCTATTCATATTACTGTACAATCCAACTATTTTAGTTGCAAACAACATTATTATTATTATTATTATTATTATTATTATTATTATTACCTACCTTCACATTTGCCGCGTGGAGCCAGTCCCGGGCAGGCGTGGTTAGGGAAACCGTTAGCAGAACGCCCCCTAGCACTGCCAGAAGGAGGAACGCTGTGACGGCTACACACAGGAACTTGTAGGACGACGCCTTTCTGGTCGTGGCTGCGGAAGTCGTTTCTGCAGATGGCTATAAAGAAAAAAAAAGATAAACATAATTATAAGTAATTGCTTGTGTATAAGGGTGTCTTCCTAATGAATCTTTCGTTCTAGATCGTTCTAGATCGATCGTAGATCGATCCAACTGATATACTTCAGATCAGTGTTTATGTCAACTTTGATAAAAGAATATTTAAGGGCCACAGGTGCGTTTTTTTTTTCTTTTTGTGTGTGTGTGTGTGTCACGAATGCGTGTGTGGTGCCATATTGCAACGAGAGCCCATATCGAGAGTTAAAAATATTAATTATCATTCCATAATTCGGGCTCACTTAAGAAAATAACATAAACCTATTCATATAGCACACAGCAGTGTAAATGCCATCTTTATCTAAACGGTACGTAAAAAATACCAGACCTAAAACGATGTCAGTGAGTTGAATAAATCGGAGAGGAATTGCGTCATTTTAATTCAAGACACGATTGAAGGTTTTATTATTGCCGCGTCTCAGGCTAATTTCTCACATAGAGAGAAAAGTTTGACACTAGAAATATTTTCCAATCGGATCATAGCTGAAAACAAGTATACTACACTACAATTGTACAATTTTGAATGCTCATTTTACGGCAACAAACAAGATTGCCTTTAGGGCATTTTGAATTCGTCTATGAACAAACATATCAAATTCTCACATAGCTTCCAAATTGACAGAAAAAATTGTATTTACACTTAATCTCTATAAGTTTATTGTCTCATCCACCCGAAGGATTGACTCACGTTATCGCGAACTACCTGCCAAAATGACACAAAAAGTCATCGACAACTGCGATATGCTCGCTACCTGTACGGGAGGTCACGTCATTCGAACGCACATGGTTTCGCGAAGAGCTCGCGTTAAGCCGATTATCCTTTGATCTTGCTCAGCGTTTCTCTTATTATGTCCAAGTTTGAACTCACGAGCCGTGACTGACACATCAGTAAGGCTTTGCTGGCGCATTGTGTGTGACATAATATGTACCAGATACAACATGAGTCGTCCACTGTATGCTACATAACAAGAAATATAGGCACAACCGAGATAAAATTTGTTTTGTATGTTGCATGCAGTGGCTGACGAGTATATTACAGGCATAAATAACAGCCTATATGCGAATTTTAAGTGTAATTATCCTGATGTCCGAAGCGCTAGCCGTGGTATTAAACCTTATTTAACCAATAACGATATAGCCGTACGCTCGTTTTGCTGAGGGCATTGAAGATACAGAGAAGACACCTGCACTGAGAAGATCACTGACAAGATGAAGCCCATCTTTGTCTGGTTACGAAGATTTCGTTGCCGAAATCAGTGTTGTTGGACAAGTATAGTTCTATTTATCTCTGTACTTTACGTAAGTATCCTTACATGGGAAAAGCCACAGGTTCAGACCAACCTTGACAAAGAAACCGTGGCTGCTGCTCTTGATGCATCTGTTCCAAGTGTAGGACGCAAAATTCAAAATGGCGACAAAAAGGCGGTAAAACCCACGCCGAACGCTAAAATTTCGCCCAAATCTTCACGTGGTCCGGAAATGAACAGCGAGTTCGACATCCCAGCTATGAGTTTGAAAAACGCTGACCAGCAAACAAAAATGAAAGTGNGCCCTGGTTTTCTGATCTTTTTCCAACTCTGAAATACTCCTGGTTGGTTTGTGTAACGTAATCGATCTTCTGTTGAAATGAAAAAAAAAAAAAACAGGGCATGACATTATTGGAAAAAGCAGAGCAAAACATATTGTATTGATGACAATGACTTGGACCGATTTTATATTTAAGATAAATTGCGTGTACATTATTTTCTTTCTCTCAAAACGTGGGACACCTCAGTCTGAGTCCTTCGGCAAGGTGTGGTCAACTTGAAAAAAAATGGATCTCTTAACTAGCTCCTAGAGTAAGCCTTCAACACTTAAAACAGTTTCACTTTTATCAAGTGAAATAAATTGACCCACATTTTAAATATAAGATTAAAAAACACCACATACATCTGCACTCTCGCTAATTTTTTCCGCTTCCCGCAAGGTTGACTCGTCCATGCTCAGCGCCATGTCTCGCAAAAGGCATTTGTTCTCGTCAGCAAAACGAACCACCGTCTTCCTCTTCAAATTGGAAATTTAAAAAAAAAAATGAAAAACCAGGCATACCTTTTTCAGGGGGCTTCATCATCAAAAAGCCCATTAACGTGCGAATATACTGTAGATGACTTTCCGCGATCGTCGAAATTCCTGTGCGTTAACTTTATATATATAGAAACATATTTTAAAACTTAACCTAAGTCAAGGAAAGAAAAAAGTGTTTTGCTTTTATTTATATTATCGTTAAAAATTATGTAAAGTTGAATGTGGATGTTAAGATGACAAAAATTCTTTTATGAACAAGTATAACACTTCACACGCTTCATTTCGCTCCACCTACCGCTTTAAAGTCATGGAGAATGAACGCCTCCGTTCTCTCGTCAATTCCTAGAGTATGAATGGCTTCCCAGCCGTCCACTAAATTGATCTGAATATCTTGTTTCTCCTCCATTCCTTGCCCTTTATATCTTAGAGTACATTTCTGAAATTAAGAACAGCGAAAACATAGCACATAATAGAACGACAGAGATCTCGTGTGCGGTTTAGTGTTCGTTTCAGTGAGAGCAGCGAAAGTGAGGGTTGATTTTTTAACGAAGTTTCAGAGATAGAATCACTAATTATTCAACTTTGATCAAAATTGATTGAAATTTTCATATCCTTTCCCATCGGGCTAATTATTCCTCAATATGCCCAACAGAGACATAGACTCCTGCTTTTGCCTGAGACAAATACATGAAAAACCATGCCCCATACTCTGCGTCTAAGTCAAAAATATATTGTACCCAAATTGAGAACTATCAGATCTGAAAAACATTCATAACTTGGACACCGAGTGCTTTAAAAAAACTGGGGTAACTTATAGTGTGTTTAAAATTAATCTTAATTTTCATGTGTTTTTTAATATCCTCATAGTACAAAATGCGTATTTCATCTTAATAATTTTATTTAACAATTTTATTAATTCAATTTTACTCTCATTCAGTGAACATTCCTATTTATCGTATTGTACATGTGTTTTAGTTGCCAGTGAAATGTTCTATTCATATTACTGTACAATCCAACTATTTTAGTTGCAAACAACATTATTATTATTATTATTATTATTATTATTATTATTATTATTATTACCTACCTACCTTCACATTTGCCGCGTGGAGCCAGTCCCGGGCAGGCGTGGTTAGGGAAACCGTTAGCAGAACGCCCCCTAGCACTGCCAGAAGGAGGAACGCTGTGACGGCTACACACAGGAACTTGTAGGACGACGCCTTCCTGGTCGTGGCGGCGGAATTCGTTTCTGCAGATGGCTATAAAGAAAAAAAGATACACATAATTATAAGTAATTGGTTGTGTATGAGGGTGTCTTCCTAATGAATCTTTCGTTCTAGATCGTTCTAGATCGATCGTAGATCGACCCAACTCCGAGGGGATGTTCTCTCACTGAATGAAATCAGGGCTCCGTATCTCGAAAGGTTCGCTATGTTGCGCACGTGCGCAAGTGTCTCGATTCCATAACCGATTCTTTCGAGATACGGGTCCATGGAATCGAGACGCTTTCGCACGTGCGCAAGTGTCTCGTTTCCATAACTTCAGATTAGTGTTAAAGCAATAATAACTCTTCCTTTGAGATTCAAAATTCCGCAAAAAAATACATTGTAAACAACGCCTGGAAATATATTCTATTATATTTTCCCACTAAAACGACTGTTTTTGTAGTAAAACTAAAATCTGTGCTTGTCACTTGGGCTTTCGATGCCTTTCTTCGCGGTCGGCAAGTGCATCCGTTGCCAATGACGTTTAGGTGTCACGCGGATTCTCGCGTTCATTCGAGACCAAAATAACATGGCGGGAAACCCTCAGACGTAAGTTGCGAGTTTTTGTACAGTGCGTCGGATAACGAAAAGCCCAGAATTGCACACATTGTAGATATAAATGCATTTTGAGCAAAAAGACGAATATATCTTATGAATCTTATAATATTGTTATATAGTGTTGTGTTGTCTGCTTTTCCCGCGGTTTTAAGTAGGTCACCAGAAACTTGGACCTCTATTTAGGTCCAAGCCAGAAACTATCGCTCGATACGAGAGGGCTCCGTCAGTTAAAATCTCTTAAGAGATTTTAACAAAAAACCGTACGTTTAGGAAAAAAAACCTGGATTAGCTTTGAATGCAGGAATGGGGTCGGTGACCATTGGTAAGTACGGGAAAATTGCCGTTTTTTCCAGGAAAATCGTATTTTTGGCCAAAACGAAGAGTTATTATGACTCTAATGTCAACTTTGATAAAAGAATATTAAAAGGCCCGCAGGTGCGTTTTTTTTTCTTTTTTTTTTTTTTTTTTTTTGTGTGTGTGTGTGTGTGTGTGTGTGTCACGAATGCGTGTGTGGTGCCATATTGCAACGAGAGCCCATATCGAGAGTTAAAAATATTAATTATCATTCCATAATTCGGGCTCACTTAAGCAAGTAACATAAACCTATTCATATAGTACACAGCAGTGTAAATGCCATCTTTATCTAAACGGTACGTAAAAAATTCCAGACCTAAAACGATGTCAGTGAGTTGAATAAATCGGAGAGGAATTGCGTCATTTTAATTCAAGACACGATTGAAGGTTTCATTATTGCCGCGTCTCAGGCTAATTTCTCACATAGAGAGAAAAGGTTGACACAAGATATATTTTCCAATCGGATCATAGCTGAAAACAAGTATACTACACTACAATTGTACAATTTTGAATGCTCATTTTACGGCAACAAACAAGATTGCCTTTAGGGCATTTTGAATTCGTCTATGAACAAACATATCAAATTCTCACATAGCTTCCAAATTGACAGAAAAAATTGTATTTACACTTAATCTCTATAGGTTTATTGTCTCATCCACCCGAAGGATTGACTCACGTTATCGCGAACTACCTGCCAAAATGACACAAAAAGTCATCGACAACTGCGATATGCCCGCTACCTGTACTGGAGGTCACGTCATTCGAACGCACATGGTTTCGCGAAGAGCTCGCGTTAAGCCGATTATCCTTTGATCTTGCTCAGCGTTTCTCTTATTATGTCCAAGTTTGAACTCACGAGCCGTGACTGACACATCAGTAAGGCTTTGCTGGCGCATTGTGTGTGACATAATATGTACCAGATACAACATGAGTCGTCCACTGTATGCTACATAACAAGAAATGTAGGCACAACCGAGATAAAATTTGTTTTGTATGTTGCATGTAGTGGCTGACGAGTATATTACAGGCATAAATTACAGCCTATATGCGAATTTTAAGTGTAATTATCCTGATGTCCGAAGCGCTAGCCGTGGTATTAAACCTTATTTAACCAATAACGATATAGCCGTACGCTCGTTTTGCTGAGGGCATTGAAAATACAGAGAAGACACCTGCCATCACTGACAAGATGAAGCCCATCTTTGTCTGGTTACGAAGATTTCGTTGCCGAAATCAGTGTTGTTGGACAAGTATAGTTCTATTTATCTCTATACTTTACGTAAGTATCCTTACATGGGAAAAGCCACAGGTTCAGACCAACCTTGACAAAGAAACCGTGGCTGCTGCTATTGATGCATCTGTTCCAAGTGTAGGACGCAAAATTCAGAATGGCGACAAAAAGGCGGTAAAACCCACGCCGAACGCTAAAATTTCGCCCAAATCTTCACGTGGTCCGGAAATGAACAGCGAGTTCGACATCCCAGCTATGAGTTTGAAAAACGCTGACCAGCAAACAAAAATGAAAGTTCTCGAACAGGTCGCTAATGAAACGAACATCAAACGCAGCCTACTTGAAAAGTACGGGTCGGGATGCCAAGTCATGCTTTTTCTTGACCACAGCGATACGTTTGAGAACCCAGGCAGCATTGCGTGCTACGTGGAGAACACCCTGACCGACTGCAACGATCCAGGCTTCGGGTCGGCAGTGTTGTACTCGGTGGAGGTCCTGACGTCTTGCCTTGTACTGGGAGCCTCGCCGGTGGTCCAGTGGTACAACTGCGATTTCTGCGGTGCGGAGTCCAAGCAGCCGACAAATCATTTCTTATCCTTCTTTCAAGATCTTGAAACGAAGACCGAAACTGAAGCAGAGCACAAACTTTGCATTGCATCGGGTATTCCAGAAGCTGGACCATACGGTGAAGGCGATTTGGTGGATCTAAGTTTTGACACCAAAGCGAGAAACTTTGCCTTTCGTGACTATCAACCTGATGAAAAGATTACTAATAGTACAAGGCTCTTGGCGCATTATGTACTGACTAAATATTTTAAACCAGTGGAACATATCAGGAATTATGTTGAGGATACATACAATAAAAAGATGAAAGGGTATTTGAACATTGGAATCCACGTTAGAGCCACAGACAGCTGGAAAGAAGTGAAAAGGGTGACTTCGCTAGAACATTGGATTTTTGAGACTAAAAAGGTCATCAAGGCAGTGTTAAGGTCAGATGATGTAATTCTTCAAATATTTAAAAGAAAGGGTTTGAACGAGAAACTCTATCCTGTCAGTGACGAGTCTATAAGGATATTTTTGGCCACTGACAATGCAGAGACAATTCTACGTTTTAAGAAGGAGTTTGGCCGTCTGGTGTTTTGGAATAATGTCGACAAGGTGGCAAGCTTTGATGCAGATGGCCGACTTTGGTACAAGGACAATCGCCTTGCAGTTGCCAATGCTAGGGTGGTCCTTCAGGACGTTCTTATGTTAGCCAAGTGTGATCTGCTTTTACACGGAGAATCCAGCATATCCGCTCTGGCTCACTATCTTAACCTCGATTTGGTGAGTTATTATATTAAGGCAGAAGAACCCGGGGTTTGGTTGCCAACAGCGACGCCGCCTGAGACGCGTGCCCAGCTGAAAGCTGAGGTAGAAAAGATGTTAAACTCTGCTCGAAATCTCATATCCAAATTTAGAGTGAACAATATCACAACTGTCATGGACGGCTGTGAGCTGAACAGGTCGCCTAAAGTGTATAACTGGATAGATACTGCGATTTGCTTTGGTAGACATCGTTTTAAATCCCAATGCTTGAATACACAAAATCTCAACTTGTCTACTCTAAATGAGGTCATAAAATTAAGTCGAAAACCACTGGTTTAGCGTGTGTATGCATATCATCCGCTTTCCGTTAAAAAAACAAACAAACTGTATCAACATATACTAACATGTATACAGTGCATTCTAACTTGATCTTGACTGTACAATTAATTTCTATATCTCAAAAAGCGGTTTTCGCAATTATTCTGAAATCCATGTTTGCCATCATGCCACGTGGACCTCTTTAGATGGCTATAGGGATTATTGGGACCTTTGTGGGGTTTTTCCTTGCCCAGTGCGTTCGGGCACCAGTCAAGGTTATGGACTCTTTGCAACCCCACAAATGAAATTTGTGCAAAATTGTTGGTAAATAATAACTTTTGCTGACTCGTCGCATCATAATTTTTAGGATGATGAGTCTTATTGAATATTTGATATATAATTTTTATCCCTAAGGCCATAACATTTAATACAGGCAACAATTTGCTAAAACGATTAGGATAGAGGAATTACATGTATATAATAAAAGCGGCCTTGTTTGGCCAAATCACGAACAATCAATATTCCTTGTTGCCTTCTTTTTTGCTTTGAATGAGACTATAAAAGTTTGTGGTACACTGAGATGGAGGAGACATAAAGGAAAGTTTGGCGTAGTCAAACGACATTTTATGGCGACAACAATCTCCAGAGCTTAGTTACGCACATGTGTGTGCCCTAGAGGGGTAATCTCCATTGAGGCACATGTTGCTAAATAAATGGACTAACTTTGAATGTCGGAATAGATTCGTATCCAACGTGATTATTTATTTAAAAGATAAATTCTAAAAAAAACAACAACCTTAAATTTACCTTATTCATCGAGCGCCATACATAGACGATACAGTGTGGACCGATGCCCACTAACAAGTCTAACATATAAAAACGCTAAAGTTTTTTTTTTTTATTTTTTTTTGTACTATCTTCCACAAGTTCTCCACGAGTGCGCTTTCTGCTGTTTTGTTAAAAAAATAATTAAATTGGCCGCTTCGACCCCATAACTACGACCCAACCTCTTACGCAATAACTAGCACCCCATTTCCATAGATTAGATCGACCTACTTTAGATCGACCTAACTCCCTGGGGGTTCACGCTAAATAGCTGTCAGCCGGGCGGACACGAAAGTTAATTATTCCCTTACAGCTTGTAGTAGGCGGGACGGACATTTAAGTCGGATTATCTGAAAGTTATCTAGTGAGACTCCCCGCGGGGATAGATCGATCTAAAATCTATGGGAATAGAGCCTAGGTCACCAGCCTCTCAAGGCGAATCGGTACATAGTATATCGCTTGAGTACACCACTCGCTGTGAAAAAGAAGTCAATAATTTGATGTGGGTTGGGGGAGGGGTAAAGTAGGTCGGGTTGGAGAGGGGGTGGTTGGGTCCACTTCTACACTGGTGCGTGTGTTTTACTTTGTAAACGGTCTTGCTGTAAAGTCTTCCAAAAAAAAAAAAACCCAAGTATTTTTTAACTATTTGGTACATGTACTTGTTAGGCCCTAGACCCATTTCCAGAGATTAGATCGATCTACTTTAGATCGACCTAACTCCCTGGGGGTTCACGCTAAATAGCTGTCAGCCGAGCGGACACGAAAGTAAATTACCCCCCTTACAGCTTGTAGTAGGCGGGACGGACATTTAAGCCGGATTATCTGACAGTAATCTAGTGAGACTCCCCGCGGGGATAGATCGATCTAAAAGCTCTGGGAATACAGCCCTACAGGTATATCTGTAATAATCATAGTGCAAAATGCTTTTTTCAGTCCATTTCAGGTCATGCTGAACTCCTATATATATTATGCAAATTTATTATTCTAGTAATAGTGCTTGATGAGGGTTTTGCATGCCTGCCCTTTTCCTATTTGTAGATATGATGATCACTTACACGGCACTCTATCATAATCGCTCAAGTTGGAGACGTATCTCAATAGTGTTTTTCTTCATATTTATTCTTAATGGGATCCTAAATTGGATTCTGCTACAAAATGACTCAATATTAATGGATTTCCTAGTGTTCTTAACAATTTCTATGACTTACCACTCATCAACAACCTATTTCCATTGTTGAAACTTATTTTACATCAAACGGTAGGGAGCTTGATTGTAGTGAGGCTATATATATATATATATATATATATATATATATATATATATATATATATATATATGGCTGTACATCAATTTACACACTCCAAAATATCATACATTTTAAGTCCGCTTCTGCAATTGACTTGAGCAAAGAAGAACACGTAGCAAATCACTTTTCTTTCTCTGTACCGATATATGTAAATATACAGGGGCAAATTTCTGACGCAAAATACTGCACTAAAATTATTTTTTATTGCATTTTTGATGCACTTTTTTACTGTTGTCCAGTATTAAGACCTCCATTTACATATGCTTCCTGGTGTAAAGAAAAATTTGATTTCTCTTTTTCTGATTAGCCTGTTTTTTTTTCTGGTGAAATAAAAATGTTTTACGCATAGCTATGTCCTATCATCTTAAACAATTAAAGCTTCATTATATTTTCACGCAATGAAATTATTTGACTTTTCTTACCTTTTTCGAGTCTGTAATTGTTGAAATATTTGCTATATAATGCTTGTCTGGCGCCATGATTCCTACAAATACAGATTAAATTATTTTTAAATTGATGCAAATTTGGTGTTTTATCAGGTGTTTGTTTTTTGTAATAAAATGATGGTCGTACACCTTTAAACATTACAATTTACCACAAATTCCCTCCAAATGAACACGTTGAGAAATATTTAACCACTCAATAAAAAGTCATAATTGTTATAACATAGATAATGGAGTATTGCACTGAAATATTTGATCTATCTGAAGACTTTGCTCAATGTTATTAAATTGCAAAATCACAAATAGTCAAAACAGTTCAGTTCGAATGGGATAAAGCCACACTGATAAACGCATGTATATCACTAACGTGAAAGTTGGGTAATGATGAGGAGGAAAAAACGAAAAGAATATTTGACATGAGATTAAATCAATGCTAGAAGTAGAACAAATATCGGAATTCCCTTTAATTAAATGACAATTGATTTAAAACGTTTAATCCAAACCTTAAGGCCGAGTCGTGTGTCTCTTTGGTCCTCTTGAGTGCTAATCCCGCGTCGCGACCGCTGGGTCTCTTTATGCACGTCTCTCGTGTATATAAGACCCAATTCAACGCGGAAATATACAGTGATCAGCGAATCAGCAACGGTAAACGCTTGCGGTCGTGACAAAATGAAATTATTACGGCCAGAACAATGGTTGATTAATGAGTAAAAGAAGAAAAAGAGACAGGGCATGGTTAGAACGCCTTCATAAACGTACCTTGTCATATTAGCGAGAAGAACTGTTATGCACCTATATCTTGTAAAACAGGTTGATCACGATAAGTATGATAGGCTTTTTGACATTTTTTTATGTCCCAACAACTAATATTCATAAAAATAAAAGAAACAAAAATACTTAGATGGATAGACAGTATATGACGGAGATTATTAGAATTAGATAATGATTACAATTACGGCAAAAATGAGTGCTAGAAATCACATTAAAGGATAACTGTCTCCACTTTTATCCAGTCAGCTTTTGCTTCAAGTATTTTAAAACTTATTAAAATAATAATCAAAATAATAATTAAAAATAATAATCATCGTGCTAATTGTTTATTGTATTTACTTTTCTCTCTCTCCCTCTCTCTTCGTATAAGTCACAACCCACTCAAATGTATTTCCACAGTGATTCACGCTACAAGAAAAAATTATATTTACATTGTTTGAAATCATTTTTGTTTATTTCCTTATTTGCTGTTTCAACAACAGTAGTTACTCTGCTGACTCACGGTGTGATTTTGACTAGTGACTGGTCCAATGATTATTATTGATTAATTCGACCAAAATTGATAACATTTAGTTCCTCGTGGTCCGGTGAAGGTGTTTCAGGTAATTTTAAACCCCTTTTACACTGGACGGCGGCCTTTCTGCGTCCCTTAGTACGGCCCTATTTGAGAGTAAAAAAAATAATACTTTACGTGCCGACAAGTGGCCGATCAGTCAGCATTCTTACTGCAACCAAAGCTTTGCTTTTGTCTCATTACTACGACCGCAGTGATGCCAGTTACATGGTCGCACAAAGGACGCAGAAATGACGCCGTCCAGAGTTAAGGGGGGAGGGGGGTGTTAAGGCATATCCCCTGTCAACATCAATCACCGGTAATTGAACATGAGAGAGAGTGAAACACATTTAAAGGCTTAACAACTGTTCGTTTTGGCAAAAAAAAAAAAGAGATTTTCCGGGGGTAAACGATGATTTCCCCATACCTACATTGGATACGAATCTATTCCGACATTCAAATTCATTCCATCTTATTTATTTATTTATTTATTTATTTATTTATTTATTTGCAATAATCTCCAAATAGATTATTACGGAAGTATGGCCATTTGTGGAGGTCCACGTGGTATGATGGCAAACATGGATACCAGAATAATTGCGATAACCGCTTTTTGAAATATAGAAATTAATTGTACAGTCAAGATCACGTAGGAATGAAATAGGACTTTGTAGCACTGTATACATGTTAGCATATGTTGATACAGTTTGTTTGTTTTTTAACGGAAAGCGGATGATATGCATACGCACGCTAAACCAGTGGTTTTCGACTTAATTTTATGACCTCATTTAGAGTAGACAAGTTGAGATTTTGTGTGTTCAAGCATTGGGATTTAAAACGATGTCTACCAAAGCAAATCGCAGTATCTATCCAGTTATACTCATTGGGCGCCCTGTTCAGCTCACAGCCGTCAATGACAGTTGTGATATTGTTCACTATAAATTTGGACATGCGCTCCCGAGCAGAGTTTAACATCTTTTCTATCTCAGCTTTCAGTTGGGCACGAGTCTCAGGCGGCGTCGCTGTTGGCAACCAAACCCCTGGTTCCTCTGCCTTAATATAATAACTCACCAAATCGAGGTTAAAATAGTGAGCCAGAGCGGATATGCTGGATTCTCCGTGTAGAAGCAGATCGCACTTGGCTAACATAAGAACGTCCTGAAGGACCACCCTCGCATTGGCAATTGCTAGTCGATTGCTCTCGTACCAAAGGCGGCCATCTGCATCAAAGCTTGTCACCTTGTCGACATTATTCCAAAACACCTGACGGCCAAACTCCTTCTTAAAACGTAGAATTGCTTCTGTATTGTCTGTGGCCAAAAATATCCTTATAGACTCGTCACTGACAGGATAGAGTTTCTCGTTCAAACCTTTCCTTTTCAATATTTGAAGAATCATATCATCTGACCTTAACACTGCCTTGATGACCTTTTTAGTCTCAGAAATCCAATGTTCTAGTGAAGTAACCCTTTTCACTTCTTTCCAACTATCTGTGGCTCTAACGTGGATTCCAATGTTCAAGTACCCTTTCATTTTTTCATTGTATGCATCCTCAACATAATTCCTGATATGTTCCACTGGTTTGAAATATTTAGTCAGTACATAATGCGCCAAGAGCCTTGTACTATTAGTAATCTTTTCATCAGGTTGATAGTCACGAAAGGCAAAGTTTCTCGCTTTGATGTCAAAACTTAGATCCACCAACTCGGCTTCACCGTATGGTCTAACTCTTGAAATACCCGATGCAATGCAAAGTTTGTGCTCTGCTTCAGTTTCGGTCTTCGTTTCAAGATCTTGAAAGAAGGATAAGAAATGATTTGTCGGCTGCTTGGACTCCGCGCCGCAGAAATCGCAGTTGTACCACTGGACCACCGGCGAAGCCCCCAGTACAAGGCAAGACGTCAGGACCTCCACCGAGTACAGCACTGCCGACCCGAAGCCTGGATCGTCGCAGTCGGTCAGGGTGTTCTCCACGTAGCACGCGACACTGCCTGGGTTCTCAAACGTATCGCTGTGGTCAAGAAAAAGCATGACTTGGCATCCCGACCCGTACTTTTCAAGTAGGCTGCGTTTGATGTTCGTTTCATTAGCGACCTGTTCGAGGACTTTCATTTTTGTTTGCTGGTCAGCGTATTTCAAACGCATAGCTGGGATGTCGAACTCGCTATTCATTTCCGGATCACATGTAGATTCGGGTGAAATTTTAGCGTTCGGCGTGGGTTTTACCGCCATTTTGTCGCCATTTTGAATTGTTTGTCCTACACCTGAAACAGACGCATCAATAGCAGCAGCCACGGTTTCTTTGTCAAGGTTGGTCTGAACCTGTGGCTTTTCCCATGTAAGGATACTTACGTATATTACAGAGATAAGTAGAACTATACTTGTCCAACAACACTGATATCGGCGACAAAATCTTCTTAACCAGACAAAGATGGCCTTCATCTTGTCAGTAATGGCAGGTGTCTTCTCTCTAGTATCGTCAATGCCCTCAGTGAAACGAGCGTACGGTTATATTGTTATTGGTTAAATAAGGTTTAATACCACGGCTAGCGTTTTTAACAATAGGATAATGACACTTGAATTTCGCATATAGGCTTGCCTGTAATTTACCCGTCAGCCACTGTAGGCGACATACAAGAACAAATTATATCTCGGCTGTGCCTACATTTCTTGTATGTAGCATACAGTGAAGGACTTATGTTGTAATTGGTACTTGTTATGTCACACACAATGCGCCAGCAAAGCCTTACTGAAGTGTCAGTCACGGCTCGTGAGTTCAAATAAAAATAGTTAAGTTGTCGCCTTGAGCGGTTCATAAAAACCATAAAGTTTATTACGGTAAACACATATTGCGATTTCATTACATTCGTTGAAAATACTCATACGTTTTTGAAATCGACTGGCGATAAGTAGAATGCAAAAGCTGGTGATTATAAGAACACGTTGGAAACTATAGGAGGCGTGTCATTCAGTTAAGCTGACTGCACTCAGCGAGAGTGCCAGCAGAGTTGGGTCGATCCACGTAGACCGATGGCGCGTTTGGGGTAAAAAAAAAATTGTTTCTTCTTCAACAGCAAGTCCAATACGTCATGTTTATTGAAAGTGGAAATGGGTTCCAACTCGTATTATATCATACCAATAAAGAAATAATGAATGCGTTGCCCCCTACTATATACAATTATGACACCGAAAAAAGAAAGGAACATTTGAACTTTGCAATATTTGTCAATGCCAGTACTTTGAAACATCCAAAGTTTTTTAATTAGTTGTTTCAGTGAGATGAATGACTGAAAAAATATTCACGTCATTGAAGCTGCAAGACTATTTCATTCCCATAGCAAATAAAGTTATTAAATAAAATTTAAAGTTGCAACTGAATATCCTCTACTTGCCATCCACAAGAGTACAACATAGCAAATCACAACTCGATTTTTTTAAACAGTGAAAATTTTATTATTATTGCATCGAATAAAATACAAAAATATTTACTTTGTAAGTCGTTAAAATTGAACTGCTTCAAAGAAGAACTGCTTGGGGCAGATCTCAGTCATGCATGGAGCTGGTGTGTGTGAACATGCACGTGTGCGCATGCATGCGTGTATAGCACACATGTAAATGGAACTGGAAGACGCTACATTACATATAACATTTTGATTGTCTTATTCATAACGGCAAATTGCATTGGCAGTGAAGGTGAAGCCGTATTATATACTGCTACAAAAGTTATGGTTAGACTAATTTTTGGCCTGATTAGCATGAAGTAATCCTCACTTAATACACTGTGTGGGGTGGCACAATAAGCAATAAGAATTTGTCAGTTAAGATCGTGATTTCATTAAAAAAAACTACTCCCTTTGATTGTGAACTATGTAAGTTAAATATACTGGTATGTATACTATCTTTGATTACCGACTCAGACAGTACAAAAACCTACCTAAATTGTTTCTAAATTACAAATTTCTTAGGTGATTATAACATCATAATGTAGCAAACTTGATCCATGACCTTCACCCTGTTTGGGTCGAATAAAAATGCAATTATTCACTGCATTACAGAACATGTATATTTTGCACATGGTCAGAGACAAAAACCTTACATTCATATATTAATAGGCTTCAAACACATTATTTTGATTATGCAATCATTGGCTTGATCATATATAGATTCACAGCAAATATTTACTGAATGAACACTTTCAATGACATTGAGCAACTCAATTAAGCTCCATTTTGATACATAATAAAAACAAAAAGGGGAAAAAAAAACTGTTGCACTAAAATCTTTAAGAGTATTTTGTCTTGGGACCTTCTTCAATGTGACCAAAATAGCATATAAAAGTTAGAATATTCAAAATATTTCAGCTGGAATGCTCTACAGTGATTGACACTCTATAATACTACAAAACCTAGAAAATATTTTTAAAAATTCTTTGGTATTAGAAAAATGTTAAACTTAAAAGGGTAAATTCATCATAATCCACAGCATTAATACTACTTTTCGAACAATCTTACTTGCATTGATAATGACAATTTTAATAACATTTATGATACATATACAAATCAGGATTTTTTTACATGAACTTTACAGGCAAGTAATAAGAGACAGACAGAACTATTGCCATCACATTTTCAATGGAACTGCATCTGGGTAAACGAATCCCAATCAATATAAATATCTTTGATAACACACAAAAAATTATGACCAACACTGCTTGCTCGTCCCTGGTTGTGGGTCAAGGTCATTTAGGGCAGGGTCATCAAGGTCACTATCGGCAGAATACGCCTCATTGTCAAATGCAAAAGATTCCAACTCAAGTGCAGAGGGAATGTGCTGTTTGCCCTTCCCACGGCCACGAGACTTTGTTTTCCTCAGCCGTGCCTCCTGTTTTTTCGGTAATTTTTTCCCTTTCCCATCATCGTCTGAATCTGTACTTGAATCCAAGCAAGCATACCCAGAACCAGGTTCTTTTGCAGACAACAGCGCACGGTTCTTCGTTCCCGTGGCATATGTCTTTGGTCTAGCTCCTTCTCCGGAGTTTTCGGACATCTGAGATGACTGAGATTTGGCCTGACTCGAAGCCTTGCTCTCCGTGTCACTGAATCCCTGTTCAGGGCTGGGGCTTGCCTTACAACTCCCTTTCCCCGTGTACCTGCTACTGCTTCCACTACTGTCAATCCTTTGCTTTTTCTCCTTAGTCATTTCTGACTCATAGTCACCTTGTTGTTCTAATTTGGTATTTTGAGATCGCACACTGGATGGGCTGTCGGTGTGGGCTGACCGACTGGACCCGTAGTCCAGATCCACATGTTGTGGACTGTGTAGAGCACCTGTAAGATTAGAGAAGACAAAATGAGAACATTTTACATAGGTTACAAGGTTGGAGTAGAAGCACTGGGAATTTTTATTTTTTTGTGGGCATGACTTCGCTGAATTATTTGTTGATGGGACCAGAATTATGGATGAATCAAGGATGCGGAACACACGAGGCATTTCCAGGTGGATTTTGAATCCTACCCTCCCCCCCCCCCTCCCCATCTATTTGGAAAATAAATGGTTATTTTATTATTATTATTATTATAATCATTACCCTTATTTACAGATTCATAAAATTATCATCATTATTATTATAACAAGATATTCACATCTAAATGCAAAGTTTTCCCCACACTTGCCTATTTGGGGCGGACTAGGAAAGGTAGCTCTGTTTAGGTGGGGTATGCCATCAGAGGGAGAAGTGCTGCCACTGAGAGCGCCCTCTTGTGTGGGAAATGAGTTGTCATGGCTACCACTGCTGTAGCCTTCGGAGTGCATGTTGCTTTCTTGGCGTTGCATTTGAAGCTGTCTGAATATCTCCATTTCCAGTTCAGATCTACAAAAACAAAAAATTTTAAAGAAAAGATCAGGTATTGAACAATCGTCTTCAAATTGTCTTTGAAGAGGCATTGTGAATACACACACAAAATGGAATAAGAATCAAATCAGTACAACAGATATTACAAGTATAAATCCTTTTTGTTTATTATACAGGCAGAAATGCAAAACGCTGCTAAAAACAGTTAAGTCGGAGAAAACCAAGACTCTACGCTAATGCACTGGTAGTTGTAATGAACTGTATTGTCAGATACTACTCTTGCAAAGCTTCCTTTCCAGAAGTGAAAAGTTAAAGGTACACAATAAAGGATTGTGGCGCTACTACTAAATCAATTTTGTTAATTAATTAAGAAAATGATAATGACTCACCTCAGTCTGGTCTCTTCTTCATTAGACATGGTCCTCAAGGCCCCTATATTACTCAGCTGTATCAGTTGTGCCAGGTGCGGCTCATGCGTGTACAGGTTCTCCTCAATTTTCTGAATACGCTGTTCAAATCTCTCCTCATTGAAGTGGATCTGTCATAAATTTATACATATTACTTTATAACAGTGTATTATTGCAATGTAAAATGGTAGCATTTTAGTATTGATCTTTTTCAACCTAAATTCTACTTCAAAAACATTCAGAGATTATAAAATAGAATTTATATTATTTCTTGAATGGAACACTAGAGAGCTTTTTACCTTATCTAATGATTAAATGCATACCATATTTCTTTCCTTTGTAACAAGATAAATGTGTATGATTCACCCCCCCCCCCCCCCAAAAAAAAAAATAATAAATAAATAAATAAAATAAAATAATAATAATAACAATAATGACAAAAGATCAAATATTCACCTCAGAACTTCCACTAGATATCCCATCATCCCCAAACCCAAATGTCCGGTCTTGGTCAGCAAATTCTGCAGGATACTTGTCAGGCAGGACATCACCTGCCAGAGAACTCATCTTGAACAGCAGCTCATCCACCTGGTACTCTATCTCTGCTATGGTGAATTCCTGGGGAAAAAGCAGAGGAAGAAAGTTGTCAATTTTGAAACGCTGCAATTTTAATTGGGGGGATATACACTGATACATCAAACTGCTCCTCTGGAAGTAAGTGTATGTGTTTTTTATTAGAGGTATATGTTGATGAAGTTACTTTAAAACAACCAATTAATTTTATCTACAAATTTTTTATATTAGTTTCTTTAATTTAAATAAAAATAATACTGGAAAACATTGCTATATCTAGCATCAATGACCAGACTCCTAGGGGCCAATCAATCCTTCAACACATTAAGAGGCCATTGGTACAAGTTGAACCGTGGACTAAATATGCCTGCCTCACTTAAAATGATGATGGCCTCCCCGCCTAAACACCCACCATTGACGCAGGGGCCTTGCCATTAAACCTCAGAGCTGAAATTTAATCCTTTAATGGCAAGTGTGGAAGTGGGGAGACCATCAGAGAATTAAGCGGCATTAGCTTTGAATTTCAGTCGCCATATTTAGTCGGCGGATCAGTTAGTCCATGGATCATCTGTTCTGAATGTTCTGTTCCTAATCTCTCCACTTACAGCTGGTAACATCTCTTCTCCTTCTTCCTCCTCTCTGTCTCCATCCCTCACTCCAGTACAGGACAAAATCTTCTCCCAGAAGAACCCGAACCACTCCGCAGGCGACATTGCAATAATCTCATCCTGGTGGTATGCACGATAATGCACAGTCAAAATTGCGATGACGTAAGCAGTGAGCATGCCCAAGGCAAATATCATGAAGCTGATGAGAAATATGGCGGCTAAGGTAGAAGTGGGGCCGTCGAGTGGCTCTTTGAGGTCGTAACTGCCAGTCATGAGTGCGCTGACAGAGAAGATACCTCGCCATAAATTGCTGAATTGGTAGCTGATGGTATTGAAGAGAGCCACGCCTGTACTGCTGTATGCCATCACCCATATCACAAATGCCAGCTGTAAAATCAACAGGGAATAATTCAAGAAATATTCCAAGATCTTGTTTATTTTATTCACCCATGGACTATATCCTAACAAATACAGAAATTTACATTATTTAAACTCAAGCCTTTACAAGATTTGGAATTTATATATTAGAGTTTTAACACAACACAGTGTTGTTCGCTTTACTGACACAGCTAAATGTTTGGTCCATTTAAATGACTAACATTCCATTTTTTCCACATCTTGTCCATTAAAAAAAAATTTAACTGCCTGTGAAACAAATAAGCTCCAAAATGTTCAAATCATCCTTACAAAGAAGGTGAGGAGGTCCCAGCGAGCCCTCTTGTAAACGTTGCCAATCTTGGCATAGAGCCGGCTGTATCTCAATAGTCTTAGAAACTGGGTCAACATCAGGAACAGCATCAGCCCCACCAATGTTCTCAATACCTGGAAAAAATTTTTTATTGAATTATTCAAATTATTCAGGTTATAATTTTTTTGAAGTTTGCAACTGAAAGGAAGCATACATTTGTGAAGGAATGGTTTAAAATAATCTGTATCATTATTTAGCCTAAAAAATTATAAAGAAAAGACCAAAAAAAGCTGAGAATATTATCAAATGTTATAGAAAAATTGTAGTCTACATTTTATTATAGACAAAAAGAGTTTAATGACATATAAAAACTCTTAAATAACTCCAACTGAAAATTCACAATCAACACTTTCTGCTGTAGAGTCCCACTGTGTTAGCAGAGACAAATTACCTCATCCCAGAATGCCACAAATGTCAGATCAACAAACTCCTCATGATACGTGGAACGCAGAATCTCCACTGTCCCTTGTACCAGAACAAAGCGATACACGTAGCAGACAAAGTATGCCAGGAATAACAAGGTCAAGGCCACCTCCACCATATTCCATGGATGGCAGAAGAACTGTTTGCCTAGGCGGATGGCATGACTCAGCACTTTTTGGGCTCGATACAGCATCACTATTATGAACAGCAGCTGAAAATAAAAAGAAAGAACATGTTTAGAAACACCAAGTCATCTAAAATGCCTTCTTACTTTAAGACAAGTCTAATTTCTCCACTTTGCCAGTATACCAGGAAAAAGTAAACTTAAAGGATTACTCATTCGAAGTACATTATTAATTTATCTTATTTTGATTTCAATGTGTAAGATATTAAACTTCTGTAAATCATCTTTACCAAAACAACTGACATAAATGACAATTTAATTTTCAAAGAACACCTTCTTACCTCACAAGCCAGGTGGAGATTGTCGTACACTGTGACATATTTATACAGGTGGGTGGAGATCACCTGGACGCTGGGCGTCGCCTGACCAGTGGGCGGGAACTCACAAATGACCTTGACAGAGCTGAAGAAACTTGTCGGTGCGTGGAAGGTGGTAAATTCCAAAATGAGGGCGCGGGTCTGGCGAGAAGTCCAGCCTGCAGTTTGGAGTTCTGCGAGTTGGGAGTAAGCTCCAGCTCTGAAAGTAATGTGGATTTTCGTTACACCTTGAATTTTATTTGTGAGAAAGGGAGAAATAAATAAGTGAAATATGGTTTTATGTTATACTAAAGAAATCTTTTTATGCTACACAAGTTCTAAAATTAGATGACCTAAATTTGATAAAGCAATGGTCCTCAGACTAATTTTTTTCCCAAAACTTTCTTTGTTTTTTTTTTCAGAAACAAAGAAATAAAATATTAAAGAAAATTATGATACCATCTTTCTTAAACTGCATATTCAAAATCCCATATCATTTTCCCCCAAAAATCACCTACCTGGTTTTGTTTAGCCTCACTATAAATCCATTCCCATCATACCATGCATGCTGTCCCATAATGCTGCTGTACTGGAGAGAGGAATATCCAAAGGTCACATTGTGCCCAAAGTCTGAAGTTTGTTTAGAAGATCCCGAATAATCATGACGGCAAGTTTTGGAGATGTTGTAAGAGGCCTCACAGCTCACCTCGTTCACTCTCAGTTGACGTAAGATAGCGTAGCCTATGATGTAACTGTTTCCTGGCAACGCCAAGAACTGGTTGGAGCTGGTTCCGTACAGACTGTCCAACATGTCAGTTTTACCCCACTGCCACCAATCGCTAAGATGCTTCACTTTCTCCAGAGGGTGCGAGGAGCTGCTGTTAAAGAAGAGAGATGATTCATTAATACATTTAAATAATACATTCTTTAATCTTAAAGTTATTAAAGGAGGATTCAGACCAATTCTCCATCAGCTTCCTTTCATTTGTTCAAAAGTTACGTCTAAAGTAATGGAATGAAAATAATTCCACCCTCCTTTGACTTAAGATATGTTTCTACCTAAAAGTTTAAAAGGTCAGGAACAAAGATATCTATGAGAATGATTTCACAAACTCAAGCAAAACTCTCAAATCTGACATCATGTATTGCCGCAAACGTACCTTAGAAATGTTGTCTCCAGTGCTTTATTCAACTGATAAGAAGTGGAAGAGAACTTCCCAAATGCCATGAATATCAGAAGCAGGAAGACAAACGCAAATGACAGAATATCCCACAGGATGGCATATGCTTTCTTCTCTTTCATGTTGCGTCGCCTTGCCTTAATCAGTTCTTTCTCTTGCGGTGGTCGTGCAAATCTCAGATAACGGGAGCGTTGCCTAGCTGCAATACCCTGGTGACAAAATTTTCTTGTTATAATCTTTGCTCCTTATTTCTGTGCAAAATCAGTTATTAATTTTTCTATCATCAAAATGTTCTATGGATTACACTTTTATCAGTTATGTTAAAACTGTCAAGTCTCTTTGCTATTTTGGTTAAGCAACGATTTACCAATCAATTTTTTTCTAAAATATATATATTAATCTATCAATATAAGTTACCTTGGCCAGTTCGTCATCCTCATTGCGACATCCAAATGACAGGGCCATGTTGCCTGCCCCCACCAGTTTCACATCCTCACAGTATTCTATGTCCTCCACATTCAGGATGGACGCCTCGTTGCGATATTTGCAAGCTGTGATCAGCACAGCCAATAAGATCTGAAAGATTAAGTTTCAAGATAAGGATGAAATGTTTATGTCTGTTTTTGTGTTCACCCATCATCCATCAAGAAAAACATATCTGGCACACATTTGGTCATCTTCTCACAAACATAATTTATTCAAATCATGATCCAACACCACAGGGACTCAAATAAACATGCGTCCTCCTGGCATCGAGAAGAAAACCATGTGCGTTTGAAACAAGTTAAGGCTTGTACGTTAATTTGGTTGCATTCAGTGAGAGTCCAAGGGGAGTTGGATGCGATCTATATAGAACAATAGTTTTGTTGGGAAAGGGCCTAAGGAAGGCACAACTGCCTCCAATACCTACCACAACAGGCTGTGTGAAGAACACACTGGTCATCAGGCTGAAGTAAAACGACTGAAGCCACATCACGCTCTTGACGTGTCCGAAGTTCAATCCGTACATCACAGTGACCGCTCCACACCCACTGGCGATGACCAAACACAGGGTCCACACGATGTACCTGAAACACAGTGGACATAGGCAGTTCTGGGGACCTCTGGTGTGGTCCTCGATGAGAACGACATCTGTTGACGCAAGGACCTTGGCACCGTTGTCCGAGTGGTCACTCCTTGTGTCTTGGTCACTGGTGTCAGACAAAACAGCTGCTGTGCGGTCCTGGCTCAAGCAGTCTTCAAATCCACTGGATGCTTCTGTCTCGTAACCTGCAGAAAAATTCAATCTTATGAAGTTCTACATTGACATGCAATGCCTTATGAAAGATGTTGTTCACTATGAAATTGTTCATCAACTCAAAATTCTTGCAAAAATTGTAAAAGAGTGTCATCTTTAATGCACACAGATGATAATTATTATTATTATTATTATTCATTCATTCCTATATTTGGCTGATTATTAAAAAATCCAGACTTTTAGAAAAAAATAAATGAGAACAACTATGTTATGACAAATTACACCACTCTGCCACAATGATGAACTGAAAAGAAACCAAATTCTCAAAAACCCTCAATCCCACCAAAATGTAAAATAATGCAACTTTGAACACTCCGTACCTTTCTTTGGCTTGACACTCTCAGAGCTGGACATGGACTGCTGATAGCGCTTCTCCCATGTTTTCTGAGCCCACTCCTGCAGGCTTTGCCAGTGGATCAGTGATTGGTCGATTAAGGAATGAGTCATGATGGGAAGGACAGTGGGGGTCTCGGAGCTTCTCTCTGACTGCTCGTCGTCATTTTTCACTAGGCTTTTGTATCTCTCTTCTGTTGAATGTTTGGATTTCTTCAGCTGAAACAGAAAACATGATTGTTTTTAAATGTACACAAAATCTTTCAAATATTTCTTGTACATGACTAAAATATGAAATACATAACAGAAGGAAACTTGAAATGAACTGAAAATTACAACCGATTTATGAAAAAAATTTATTTTTCATACTAGGGATGTTTCCATATACTGATGTCTTCTTACCTCACTTCTTCTGTACAAGAAGGCCAGGAGGACATACAGTGGTCCCACAATTGCACTGCAGATGGCGCCAACAGCAATGGCTTTCCAAGATAAGTCCAGAAGGCCAAACTCTCCTCGATACTTTAAAAATAGCAGGTTATCATCAATAATACTTACATCATATATTATACTCAAAGTATTATGCAATGCATTCAATTTATTATTGGTCAATTCATTGGGATGTTTTCTAATTTTTTATTTTCTTCATACCTCTATTTATTTTATACAAAACAAATCTGCAAAGCAGTACAGGTTAAAAAAAATTGTTCATTAAATGTTAAGACTGGATAAATTACACTGGCGTCCATATCTTTTTTATTCCCCATGGTACCGCTTCCTACCTCTAAATGCGGTTCTTTCCAATGGAACCACAAGCAGTCCAGGCACATGTAGGCCATCAGCATGGTGAAACAGCATGTCAGGCGCTCTGCGCGACTGAAACGACTGTACGCGGGCCGCGTGATGATGGAGCTCCAGATGTGGTAGTCACAGAAATACTGCCAGCCCTTGGTCCAGAACACCTGTGAATATGATTTTATTTTATTTCTATATTTTATTTTGGCTTTTACATTAGAATTAAATAAGCACACAATACAAGATACACAAAGGCACTTAACTGAAATACTCCTAACATGCACTTCTATTTGTAAGTGTTACCATGATTTTAAATATCAACTTTAGTTTTAAACTTATAATCAGCATTATTAAATGCTATAATTTTCATTATTATTCAAGCTTAAGTTTTCATCATTATTATTATTATTATTATTATTATTATTATTATTATTATTATTATATTCTTTTTTCCACAGGTAATTTCATTATTATTGTTCTTATCATTTAAAGCCACTAAATTTCAGCTACACATAACATGATAAAAAGAAAGCCATATTTATAAACCATCTTTGGCCTTAGACTTAAAACAACTATCAGATTGGCTTTTAAAACATGGGGAGAATGCACAACAAACAAAAAAAGATTCTTACCCTCTGAAAACCTGGCTTTCCTTCCAATGCAGGAATCTCGCGCTCAATTCTGCCATCATCTTCTTCAACAGCAAACCACCTTTCACAAATGAAATAGTACTTCTGACCTGCAAAGGAGGGGAGCAACAAAAAATATAATCAATTGTAAAATTTATAAGTATTCAACATTATGTTAGGTTACACTCAAACAAAGCCTTCCAGGGATTAAAACAGGGATTAAAATTTTTCATTTTTATTAATGCTGAGAAATATTTCACAGAAAACATAATACAGCTCCAATGTTCACATTACTGTTGAAATTCATATCTGTTCCTATAAACAACAAAACATGTCATGAACAGTTTAATCATAAAAAAAAAAAAAAAAAAAAAAAAATCCAATATCTAATGCAGAATTCCTAAAATAAAATCCTTGTCACCAATCCATACCTGTGTTGAGATCCTTCACAATGACTGTGCTGAGATACCAGCTGGGAGACCGCCCGGCGTTGTTATGCCACAGCTGTACCTTCCACAGTTTACCCAGCCCCTCAGGGAGTGTCGCCAGGAACGTGTGGCGGGAATTGGGCTTGAACATCTCCTTCTTGCCCTGACAGACCAGTTCCCTGGTCTCTGAGATGCCTTCCATGCCATGGAGGATGATGCTAACCTGGTCACATAAGAAAGGTTGTTATAGGACTAAAATGTTTTTTCAACAAGGAATGTGTCTCAGTTTCCTTTATTCTACATGGAATTTGTCTAAATCCCCTTAAATCTGGGAATCCCAGGATTATATTATATCCCAAGGAAAGTGACTGGGTCAGAAATAAACAGAAAAAACTTGTTTTCTTTACTGAGATTATTCAAACCAAATGATCAGTTTTTGCTCTTTTCACAAAATTCTACTATACTTTGTGCACATTTCATTAACAATATCAATTTCACCACCTGCAATCATTTCTAAATCATTTTCAATTACCTTGGCTGTTGTTCCAGCACCTTTCAAACTCCCAGTTTCAATCATGATTTCGTAGCGTTGTTTGTCAGTAGGAGAGTTGTCCTCCAGGCAGATGACTTCTCTTCTCTCACAGCCAGTGTCAAATCGACAGCAGAGGATGAGCAACATAATGTAGATGATAACCACACAGCCAACGAACATCGGTGGTACATAGTTTGGACTCTCTCTGAAAGAGGAAGAGAAAATAAGGATGAAAATCTGTTCAAGTACAATTGATTAATCGTTATAAAATTATCAATGCAAAACTCTAAAGTTTCCAATTATTTTTTTGGGAAAAATTATTCTGAAAGTTTTTATTCATTTTATGTGCCATTTTATTATTATTATTATTATTATTATTATTATTATTATTATTATTATTACGGTTCCTTTACCCAAATCACACCGATCTGCTTTTCCACTTCAAAATCAGCCAGGCAGTATTTAAAACAAAATCTACAGACAATGTAATGTTACTCACACAAAGAATGTGTCCACTTTGACCACAGTGAGATCACTGGACACTGGGGAGAAGTGACCAGCAAATGACGTCAGATGGTTACAACTGGAATGGAACAGTGGTATATATAAACGCTGAACATATACTTATATCTCTTTTAGAGTATGTCTTGATAACGGTTTTAGGGAAAGGAGAATAAAACCAATAACACTCTTGGTACTGAAAATAATTATTTTGTTATGCTTTAATAACATAATTTTAATTCAAACTTAAAAATAATACATTCTAAAATCTACTGAGAATTGTATGAACACCGAAGGCCTTAGACAAATGTGTAGCTTCATCTTGACTACAAAACACAATAAGATTCTATAGGACCTTGCAGAATTTTGAGTCAATTTTCAATAGAACGTACTACTATAGGACCCTATGTGAAACATTCATTCAGGTGCAGGCCCGTAACCAGCAATTTCAAAAGGGGGGGGGGGTCTTTTTCTGAAAAAGTGGACCTTTTCCCATAAAAACTTCATTTACCTAGATCAAATTTTACCCAGAGTGGACCTCTTTCCAGCAAAAGGGGCGGTACTTTCGAACCCCCCCCCCCCCCCCCTGGCTACGGGCCTGAGGTGCATAATATAAATAACAACATACCTGCAATGTGTCGTAGCATATGTTGATGATTCTTCATGATAACACCCTTCACTAGACCAAGCTGGGATCTGTTCATTCCAGTACACACAGTCTCCCCACCACATCCGCAGCGCGTAGCCTCGTTCGCGAATTTCTCCATTGCGAGGACGGCCGGCATCAAAACTGGCGTCAACAACACCCAGGTAGTAAGTGCTTGTCTCTGAGGATGCAAATAAAATCGTGTTCGTTATTTTCGGATAACAAATTATATTTTATTCCTTCATAAAAAGTAAATTTCTTCGCATTCTTCCACCCTGTCACAAATTGAATGTGTTATGGTACAGTGTCCAAAGTTGCAATCAAACAGACGAAACTGCCACACTTAATTTTCTCGTAAGGCAATTCCAAAATGGACGATCAGCTTTTGAAATAAATTTTGAAGAATATCAGCCTGAATTGACCCATATATTTTTTAATGACATTCCTACGTTAACATGTTTTTTTTTACTAACCACATGAGGACCATAGGAAAGATAAATTTTACACCCTCAATAAATAAAGTTGAATAAAGAAATAAAACAATAAAAAGACAACAAAAATTGGGCACTGATACTTACGGTTTAACCTTCCTGCTGGAATGTAAATCTTCAAGCTGCTGTCAAGATGGTGGTATTCTTTCTTCAGCCAGTGGTGGGTGGGAGATGGTGGCTGGTCAAAACTGAAATAATAGAGTGAAAACATGAATGGGAGCCTCCAAAAATCCACAGAATACAACTTTTTATCTATTTAATTTATTTGGGAGATATTGTTTGAATATGTTCCATCATCTGGTAATGCGATAATGCATTTTAGTCTAACTTCCATTGTCTAAACTTGTGGCTTTTTCGTAGGGAACATTCAGCATCTGATCAGAGCTTGTCTTGTTTACTAGGGACATCTATTGGTCAGCCTTCTAAAAATGTCTTGTTTAGACAGCTGCTGCTCTCCCTCAGACGGCAACACACCTGAAACTTTGCTCACCTAGTCATAGAAACAGGCCTGAGCACAAATTTCAGACGGGCTTCCATCAAGGTTGTATCTTTTACCTCATCCCTGTCTTCTTCCACAGCTTTCTTTTCTCTGGTAGATTCCAACTGATAAGGGATTTAACTGGAGCATTTCTGTTGCACTGTATACTACATGTTCTGATATCTTGGTTTATCCAAACAGTGTAATCCTATAATTATATTTCAACACCTCTTCTATCCAGCATCACGTGAGGCTCACACCTAATATCTTATACCACTGTTAATTGCCTGGTCTGGGGAGTTATCAGTTTAAAAAAACACTGGCTGCTTTGCACCCCTCTGTAAAATTACTCTGTTCATACCATGTAAGAGATAATCCCACACAGTTGTCAGACCGTCAGACTGACACACCTGAAACTTTGCTCACCTTACTATCAGGCTTGAGTCAAAATTTCAGGCACGTCAGGCAGACGAGTTTCTCTTTATTGGCTGCAGGCCTCCACTTCCATTAAAAAAATTTTTTCAGAGCCATAAAAATGTACCTTTGAGCCATTTATGGTTAGTAAAAACCAACTCCCCTTGACTTGTTGCAGAATCAAACAGTACACAAGCCTAGTTTTCAAATTTTCGGCCATAAATCTGTCCCCTGTGGCCACCAATCAGCACTTCATGTCACTGCTAAAATTCCAGCGACTTTGTTCTGATGACAACAGTTATAAAACTGATGTACCTTTAAGGTCTTCCTTCCAAGGTCGTAGTACACCACAAGAAAAAAATCCATTGCTTGTTTCAAAATTGTATTTATATGTACCCATGTAACCCCGTTTTCCCCGAAGAATTTGGGAGAAAATAATGCAGTAATAAGCAGACATAAAATGAATACAAAGAACAAATTTCCCTGCCTCAGTAATAATTTTCTCTCTCTCCCTCTCTCTCTCTCTCTCACACACACACACACACACAAACACACACACACACACACACACACACACACAACTCTAGTTTCTTACCTTATAAGCAGAGCAATGGGGAAAGACCTGCCCTGTGCTTGTTTCAGAAACTCTAGCTCCACCTGCAGGGACTGTCTGAGGTTCTCCACAGTCACATTAAATTTGTGGATATTCATGTTTTCTTTCTTCAGCTGATACTGCTGTGGGACAGCATTCTATAATTAAAAACAAGTTTCACACATCAGTAATTGCTGAATTCATATAAATCCATTGTAGAAAAGCTATAAGGATGGAGTAGTGCACTTAAACCTGCCAATAGTAGTCTAATATACATAACAATTCAATAATAGCTGTATATACAGAAAAAAAATAGACTAAAGCACTGAACTTCTAAAATATCTGCTTTCATTATTTATCAATGTAATCTATACAACGGAAACAATGTAGAACTATTCCGAGCCCCCAGCCCTCCAGTATATTAGAGGCAAAAAAAAAAAAAAAAAAAAAAAAACTTTCAAATGTTAACATATAGAAGACTTCATCAGTGGTCCAAGTGTTTTATCAGAGAGCAATTTCCTGTACATAACTGGCTGTAATCCAGTTTGTCTTCATATCTCCAGTGACGCATGCAACTCATCTTTGTCACCAAAATAGATAAATTAGTATTGAGCTTTTATTGATCTGAGCTGACCCTGGGATTTTATCATATTTATTTATTTTTTTGTTATTTCTTTAAAATTCATTTATTTGTTTATTTAATGATCTATTTGTGCCCCTTCACTTTCTTGATATCCTTGATTTTTAGCGAATTTTGTGAAAAACAAACAAACAAACAAACAAACAAACAAATAAATAAATAAATAAATAAATATTTTAACCTCTCCCCCCTTATGGATATCATGAATCTACAATCATTTATAGTATAAAACTGTTGCCATGGTACATGCTCTTGTTTGGATTTCATGGATCAAAACTAACATCGTCTTCAGAGTAAGAAGGCCCCTAGCCATCAATTTTAAATTGGGGGGGGGGGTCATTTTCTGAAAAAGTGGACCTTTTAACATAAAACCTTCATGTACCTAGATCAAATTTTATCCAAAGAGGACCTTTTCCCAGCAAAAAGGGCGGTTCTTTAGAACCCTCCGAACCCCCCCCCCCCTGGCTACGGGCCTGGTAAGCATTTCTTGGCACGGCATGACTCACATGAGATTTGTCTAAATGACAGGAGACTAATCTGATAAACCAATTTGCAATTTACGCCAGGACACACTTCAAACATTGAGGACTCAATTAATTAAGAAGTAGGAAGAAGACTTGATTATGTGACGGAGGGGTTTTTTGATTGCCGCGTTTAATTAATGACTCATTATCCCTGGTGCCATAATTGGAGGAATCCGCAGCTGTCAAAAATGGGGCCTCATCAATGGACGGGAAAAAAGATCGATAATGTGTAAGACGAAATTGTGTGAATGGTACACATGTCATTCTAAATGTACTATGAAATCACTTGCCATGCAGGTTTCATGCTTCTTTTCCATTAAAGGGCTATTTCCATTAAGAAGCTAATGTCCTATTTTTTCATTGCCCCTGAATCATTACTTGATACATTTCGTTCTCTCACTAAAGTACTTTTAGAAAGAAACATTTCTTTCCTTGGGTAAGAGAAATTCTAGTCACAACGTATTAAATTTTTGAAATCTATTCTGCCAATTTGGTGTATTTTTTATCTTATTTTTTTTCCTGGGATAAAACAATTTCAATTTCACTTCAGTTTTTTTAAAAACTTTATGGATGTAAACTCAAAAGAGAGACCACCTTGAACACTGCAGACAACACTCCCACTATCCCATAACGCAGTATTTTTAATCCCACAATGCACCTACCTGGTCAGGAGTATTTTGGAGTTCCATTCTAATCAAGCTTTCATCGGTGAGGTTCTGTACCACAATCGGGTTTGATAGGCAGTCAAACAGTTTCAGGGAGGCCACTCGGGACTGCACCTATTACATAATTAATACAAAGATGATCATTAAGAATTTTTGTTCATTTAAAATAATTTTGTACCAAGAGACACAACTTCATTCCCAATTTAGTTCTTTAAAATTACACTAATCACTGCAATATCATAACAGATTTTTATGTATTCTATAGTGTATTTCTTCATTTAACAATTTTATCTAAAAATAACAACTGAATTAATTATCTCACCTCCTGTCCAATAAAAGGGTTCCCTTTGTATGTAACCATGACAACCTGGACACACCCATTGGCTGCAGAGGCTGCCTGTTGCTTGGCAACAACTGCAGGAAGTGTAGATGGCAGCACAAACTTTGCTCCTGGCACCTGTAATGTTGGCACACTCCTGGAGTCGTATAGCGCTGCATGATGGGAAGCAAAATCGGTATCTTCGTTGATAGGCTCTTCTCCTATTGAACGGTCATTAAGGGCAACCTAAAATGCAAAATCTTAAATATAGTTTTTATCTTACACTAATGTCAAATACCTGGTAATCAGGTTGAGATAGCTGTATTTTCTGTAAACCCAGATTCCAACCTGTAAGCCATGTTACAATGATGAAAAATTTACAGTAAAAAAAATAGATTTGGTGCATAATTAGTACAAAATATGTTTAAAATAAGAATAAAGAATCTCTATCCAGAAGAGGATCAAGGATAAAGGAATTTCAAAAGAACAATGAAGAGGAACAGACCAATCACCGATTAACCTCCACAGCATCAAAGTGAACTAATCTTTACTTTTCATAAAACAAAACAGGCATTTCAAAAACAAAATTTTCACATTCAAACTAACTAGATTAATCTTACAAATGATCACCCTCCCCCCCCCACAAAAAAAAAAATTCCAACTGAAGAAAATATAGTAATCAAATCTGACAAACTAAAACAACACTGATAACCTGTCAGCTACGTGTTCATCAGAGTCCTGACTATATCTGCTATCCACAGAACGGTGTGATAATAAACTCCAAAGAAGAGCCTAATAAAAACAAGCAATCCTTTAGGATCAATTTCTCATTAAATCTACATAATATCTCTTTTTCGCATACAATAAGCTTAGGATGGGCTGAATGCAATCCAGGTAATGCAAATCAAAGTATACCCAAAAGCCTCATTAGAACTCCTCTTAACAGACTAAACAATCATCTATCCTGTGCTACAGCCAAGAAAGTGCAAATCAAGGTACACAATGGCGAGTTTCCAGTGGAGATAGGCTGGTGTCACTTAGTGCATCTCACCTCAGCAAGTCCTCTTAATAACATGAGCTCAATGTGGGAGGAACATCTAACAATACGACTTACCTCAATCAAAAATTGTCTTGGCTGTGACAACTGAGAGATAAAAGGTTTGGCCTAGATTCCAGATGAGCCAAAGATAGTCGCACAGAATATAGGGAAGGGCCAGATCAAGTTACGTCAACCCATCTTGACTGGAAACTCGCCCTAGTACTATGAACAAGTGCCACTGTGCTGCTGCTGCTGCTATTGACAGGACATCAATTTGCAGTCAATTACAGTCATCTGATGCGTGCTCGCAAGTACCAGTTAACCGCAGAGTTTAACACAACAGTGATTGTGTGAGCTAAGAGCTCCATTCACACCTGACGGGATTCAATTTGTGCTCATAACCGGACTTGCTTGGAATAAAAATAGTTCCACTGACATCACCGGCTGACCAGATTGCTTTACATTCACTCTGAATAGCAGGAGTGTACAATCTGTGTAAATGCGTAATCTATTTGTCCTTTGTGATGTCGGTTAGATTACGATGCATTTTCCGCCCCGATATATTTTGGCTCAAAAATGCAATCTCGAAGTCATTCGGTACTCGAATTAGTACATAATGCTTATCACAATAGGTTCACAGCTCATGGCGAAGCTATTAAACAAAAGCTGATTGCAATCAATCAAACAATCAACTGAGACAAGCAATATGTCATAGTGTGTGTTATCCTCATGGTGATGAAATCCTATCAACTGCCCTATGCCGTGAGATCACAATGAACCTCTTATATCCCAATTCGGAGCTGATCTATATTTTGCCCAGTCTTGAAAAGAGCCAGTGTATTCATAGCTTGCTCTCATCAGATCCCCTTCACCTTTCTCCCTGGTGTTCTGTTGACACAACCTGAGCGAAACAACAGGCACTTGGATCTGATATCTATGTACTTAATTCCCTTTTTCAATGCAGGTGCAGAATGATCCATATTTATAATCAAACCTGCAGAACAACAGACTACTTGAAGTCGTGTAACCAAAGTCGGTTTCACAACACTTGATAGAAAACCGCTGCTGCTCTAACACAATCTAAGGCACTCAAACTGAGGAAAGATTACAAAAGTGTGAGCTCTGAGAGCCCAGCTGCTTTTAGAAATCCATTGTGACTTTGCAGAGAAAACAGCGCTCAGACCGGTGTCCTCATATCAGCCCAATTCACATCTTATCCATGAAAGCTTCTGAAAATCCTTAGTTACCTAGCACAACTTAATAAGAAAATGCTGTCAGCCTTACTTCAAAATACCACATACATACTAGTAAGCCCATCCAGTATTGTATTCAAGGCACAAATAATCACATATTTCTTAAAGCGCAAGATCATCTAGCTTCTCCCTAATCTTCCTGACAGAAATGTCAAGCAGTATAAACACAACATTGGTAGTTCGCCCCCCCCCCCCAAGCAATATTTTTAAAGATTCAAAGATAAAAAATACTGTACTGGTAGCTTTTCTTCAAGACATTTGAAAACCTTTTAAAAGAAGCATCAAGAGAAGAAACTGAACAACAAGATGGCACCGCCATATTTTGGAATCTCCCGGAAGAATCCTTAAAGCCGCATAAAAGAAGTCGGTACCAGCAGATCTTCTCCAGTAACCACACTTAACAACCTCTTAAATGTGGCAGCTCATGTAGGTATCACATATGTAACTGAACCCTTTAATGACCCACTGGGCTCCTGGGTTCTAACTCGAAACCCCCCAGTGGCGGCCAAGTGCTGTTTGTTTTCCCTAAACTTGTTGCAGTATTAATGAGATACCGGTATCGCCATGAGGTCCACTTGCCATGGTATATCTTCAGGGGCCAGAGGCTGGCAATCTATCTGACCGTCTCTGCCAAGAGTTCTGGCAGTTCTTGGTTGTTAAGGATGCCCAGTGGTCAATGCCCTTGAATGATAACAGCAAAGCAGCTCTTGGCTTGTTGAAATTTCTTATTTCTTCCCTATGGTGTCTAGATATATCTAGATTTAAGTGCTTAGTGTAAGGATATGATATGAATATTCATGGGGAAACTCTGTTGGCTCTGGACTGTTGCAGGAC